CTGAACAGAGGGGTTCGATTGATGGTATGGGCACCAGATGATATTGTTCAGTGACTACAAGCCATGTAGGTTTATGCCAAGGGAAGTTTTAGAGATGGATGAAATTAGAGCACATTTAAATATGAATTAATATGGGGTTGGGCTCCCTGGAAACGGACTGTGAGGGTTAGATGGCTGTGCGGAAAGTTTTTTGAGAGCGCTCAGAGGACCTGCACCCTGGAAGGGGAGGACAGGGAAGAAGTGGGGGTGGGCCCAGGGAGAAGCTGGGCTGCGGTGCAGGCTGACCCTGCAGGAAGCTCTGGAGCTGGAGTGACCTTCTGAGTCATCCCAAGTCGGGCTGGCTGTGGTGGGCCTTGTCCATCCTGATCCATCTTGAAGCACCACTTACCTCACATTTTGCCAACACTGGGGTAGCCCATACAGAGGCTGGTTGATGTTAATTGCCAGTCATCTTGTCCAGGGTCGATGCTCTCTGGTGGCATTAACGTACAATGTGAAGATTTGTACCTCTACTTCAATTACACCCAGGGTTGCGTAGGGGAACCCTGATGACCAGCCGCTAGTGGAGGAAAAAACCTGAGCTTTATTTACAGATGGGTCAGCTTGATACATAGGTGCAAAGGTGCTTTCGGTGGCTGGAGGGTCACCCTGTGCCTCTCCAAAGAGGTCTCTGGGTTCCTAGCTGTGCTTCCACTGGGAAGCACCTCGGCGCGTCCTAAGTTCTTGGGAGTCCCCCGCGGTGTCCTGCTGACATGGTCCACTGACCTTGGGCGGCGGCTTTGTCACAGATTCACAGCTGTCACGGAATGTCCAAAAACAACGCAGATAAAAAACATTCTTTCCAGCAAACATTGTTCAAATAATGAGAACATCTGTGCTTCCTTGACTGATTTTGTAGCTTTTTAAGCACAAAAATGCTTAAAATGCTGCTTTTTTACTCTGTGCATGTGTGCAGGCATGCAGGAAGTTTATAGGTACTTATCGAGGCTCGCTAAGTATCTGAATCGTTTCCTTGGGCTGTTGTGACGTATCGGGCTCAGTGCTTGTCTCTGTGGCTGTCAAGGTGGACACTCCAGCAGCAGTCGCTGGAGCAGCTTTGGTGAGTCTGTGATGTCATGTCTACGAGCAGGCTCCACCGTGGCTCCTCCATTCATATGTCCGTTCTGGCAACTCCAGTTGCAGTGACTGAGGCTTGGTGCCTTTTTTGTGGTGGATACTCTCTACTTTTTCATTCTTTGATGCTCTTCTTTTCTTTATGTAGATCTGAGTTCTTAATTTTAATTTTAATTTCCCTCTCTCTGTGTAGTTTGTTGTAATATTTCTTGTAAGACAGCTCTACTGGCAGCAAATTCCCTCCATTTTTGTCTGTGTAGGAGTTGTTATTTCTCCATCACTGTTGAAAGATAATTTTGCAGGGTAGAGAATTCGAGGTTGGTTGTTGTTTTTCTTCCTCCCAACACTTTAGATATGCAACACTCTACTCTCTTCTTGCTTGCATGGTTTCTGAGGAGAAGTTGTATGTAATTCTTTTCTTTGTTCCTCTTTGGGTAAGGTGTTTTCCCTGTGGATTCTTTCAAGATGTTTTATTTACCTTTGATTTTCTGAAGTTTGAATATGATATGCCTAGAAATAAATAGTTTTGGGGGGGCGTTTGTCCTGCATGGTGTCCTCTGAGCTTGCTAGATCTGTATGTTGGTGAATGACATTAATTTGGGGAAATTCTCATTATTGCTTCAAATACTACTTCTGTTCCTTCCTTTCTTTCTTTTTCTTCTGCTATTCTATCGTATGTATTACAACTTTTGTAGTTGTCCCACAGTGCTTGGATATTCTAATCTGGTTTTCATCATTTTTCATTTTCATCATCATTTCTGTTCTTTTCTCTTTGCTTTTAAGTTTAAAAGCTCCTGTGGTCATAGTTTCAAGCTCAGAGATTCCTTCCTTAGCCATATCCAGGCTACTCATGATTCTGTCAAAGGGACTCTTGGGGTTCCTGGGTGGCTTAGTTGGTTGAGCATCTGATTCTTGATTTCAGCTCAAGTCATGATCTCAGGGTCGTGAGACTGACATTGGTCTTCATGCTCAGCAGAAAGTCTGCTTGAAGATTCTCTCCCTCTACCCCTTCCCCCATTTATTTTTTTAAAAAGTTCATTATTTATATAATAAATAAAATCTTCTTTATTTTTATTTTTTTAATAAAATCTTTTTAAAAATACTAAGAGATTAATATCCAAAATGTACATTTCTCCCACTATCTGAAAGTTTGCTTTACAATGCTTTGCTTTTACAAACTACCTACTTTAGTATCTATTTTCACTAACTAAAAAAAAAAATCTGAAGAGGATTGTGCCTTTTACAGAATGGAAGTTTCTTCTTTGTTTTCTGCCATTTCAGTTTACAAAAGGTTTCATAGGCATGTTCTACTTTGGAATAGCAGGGGAAACCTGTATATGGAGAACTCCTTAAAACTCAATAAGGAAGGGGTGCCTGGCTGGCTCAATCAGTGGAGCATGGGACTCTTGGTCTCAGGGTTGTGAGTTCAAGCCCCATGTTGGGAGTAGAGATCACTTAAAAAATAAAATCTTAAAAAGAAAAAGTAAGCAGACAACCTAATTCAGAAATGGACAAAACGGGGCGTCTGGGTGACTCAGTGGGTTAAAGCCTCTGCCTTCAGCTCAGGTCATGGTCCTAGGGTCCTGGGATCGAGCCCCGCATCGGGCTCTCTGCTCAGTGGGGAGCTCGCTTCCTCCTCTCTCTCTCTGCCTGCCTCTCTGTCTACTTGTGATCTCTGTCAAGTAGATAAATAAAATCTTATAAAAAAAAAGAAATGGACAAACTGGACTTGAATAGACATTTCTCCAAAGAATGTATACAAATGGCCAATAAGCACATGAAAAGATGCTCAAACTCACCTAGGGAAACACAAATTAAAGCCACAAAGAGATAGAATCTCTCACCCATTAGAATGGCTATCATACAAAGAAAACCAGAAAATAAGTGTTGGTGAGGATGTAGACGCATTGGAACACTTCTGCACTGTTGGTTGGAATATAAAATGGTGGTGCCCCTGTGAAAAAGAGGATGGTGACTCTTAAAAACTTTTTGAAAATCACCATATAATCCATTAATTCCATTTCTGGGTATTTACTCAAAATAATTGAAAGCAGGATCTTGAAGAGATATGTGTATAACCATGTTCACAGCAGCATTATTCTCAATAGCTAAAATGTGGAAGCAACCCAAGTGTCTGTCTATGGACGAACGGATAAACAACATGTGGTCTATTCATACAATGCAATGTTATTCAGCCTTAAAAAGGAAGAGAATTTTGACACCTGCTACAACATGGATCAATCTTAAGGACATTAAACCAGTCACAAAAAGACAAATAACTTATAATCCCACTTATATGAGGTCCCTAGAATGGTCAAAATCATGGCAACAGAAAACAGAATGGTGGTTTCAGAGGCTGAGGGGAATGGAGAAGGACAAATTATTGTTTAATGGGTATTGAGTTTCAGTTTTGCAAGGTAAGAGTTACAGAGCTAGATGGTGGTGATGGTTGTACTTAGTACCACTTAACTATACACTTCAACATGTTGAAGAGTGAATTTTATGTTTTATGTGTTTTACCACACTAATTAGAGCCCCCCTGACACCTTCACCCCGAGCTGAGCTCTGAGATGAGTGCACTAGGCTTCAGGGGAGTGACAGATGAAAACTGCCCTTGTTGGAATTACAACCAAGTCTACAAATGTTGAGAGGAGACATGCAAATGAAAACTTAATTGTTTCTGACATCAGTCAGACTGAAAAAGCATTGGTTTGCAGACCCAAAATTTATGCAGAGGACCAGGAAATGGGTTTGACACCAAGTAGTAAGGGTGGGGGGGTCTCTGTCTGGCCATTCATCCAGGTTCCTGGAACCTTGTCCTTATCCAGAAACTGGAAGGGGCTGGCTGGGTGGTGCCTGAGCTTGCTGTCCACCGTGGGATTCTAGACCCTGACACTTGGCAGTAACCAGGCAGAGAATGCACAGGGTTACTGGCTCAGCAGTTCAGACCACCTGGGGCACTGAAATGCATCCGTGTGTCTTTTTATAATGAGGCCCTCTACTCTCTTCTTACCCGTTTCTATCCTATTTACCAAAACAAACGTTGCCATACAAACCACGATGTAAGGAGAACCCACCCACTAGGTTTCATGTACACATCCCCCATTCTGTTCTGAAGGACCAGCTGCTCTTTCCTTCCTGGTGTTACTACAAAGCAAGGGTTGGATTTTAAATGGAGAATGAAAGGGGGATCAGTTGAACTAACATGCATGATTTGTGATTTATTTTATCATATGGCACCTAATGTATCAGTGTTTTCATCTTAGCACAGTCTGTGGTAGATCTTAGCATGACCTAAACCGACCTAAACCAGTCTCACTGCAGGTTTAATTTGCATTTCTCTGACGACTAAAGATTCTGAGCACCTTTGCATGTGTAACTGGCTGTTCCTGTATTTCCTTTGATGAACTGTCTGTTCAGAGTTTGGCCCATTTTGAAATTGCGCTGTTTTTGTCTTGTTATTTTTGAGAATTCTGTATATATTCTGGATATGTTTTCAGATGTACTCATTTTAAATATTCTGTCCTAGCACAGAGTTTTTCATTCTGAAGGTGAGTCAAGTGTCCTCCTGTTCTGTCATCTCAGGGGTAAAGGAAAATTGAATGCAAAGTCTCACAACTAGTGACGGGTATACTCAGGATTCAAACCTGGGCCAGCAGCATGGACATTGACAGGATGAGAAGCCATGTTCTTAAGTATAATGACCACTTGTCAGGTAGAGAGAGGGGGAAATGTTGGGAACCTGTCTATAGTAGGGATTTATATAGTTTCCAGTTTGCCTTGTTAACAGTAGAGGAGGGTGGGATGGAAGCTTTACTTCCAGCTGCTGAAAAGTGGGTTCAAAGAGGGTCCACCAAAATGAATGACTTTTCCCTTTCTTCACACAGGTTTTCTTCTAGGGTGCCAAGTTCTTTGCCATTCAACACGTCAGTCATGTACAAAAAGACTGTGTTTGTAGAGTTTACAGATGACCTTTTCAACATTGCCAAACCCAGGCCACCGTGGATGGGTAATATAAACAATATTGACTGTTTATTATGGAACTGAGTATCTGATGCTCGAGCAAGGATTCCCATGGCCTCCCTTACTACCACCTGCTGGGGAAATACTGACTGAAGAGTCTGTGTCTTTTCCGGGCTTTCCTCCTCTGCTTGTTCTCTGGATGTCAGAGTGCTCTGGGTCTTGGACCTGGGTTTGTTCTGTCTTCTCTTTACCTTCGATCACTAGCTGATCTTACCCAGTCTCACAATTTTAAGACATCTCTATGCCAGTAACTCCCAGGTTTAGATCTTCAGTTCAGACTGCTTACTTGATACATCCTCTCAAATGTCAAATAAGCATGTAACAGGATATCAGAATGAGACATCTCGTACCTGAGAAATATTTTGGAGAATTATAGGTGATAAATACCCCCAAATTCTAAAGAGAGACTGGGAGCAGCTAGTTGGCTCAGTCAGTAGAGCATGTGACTCTTGATCCTGGGGTTGTGAGTTCAAGCCCTACGTTGGGTGTAGAGATTATTTTAAAATATTATAAAAGGTTAGTTTTACCCAGTTTGAAATTTTGGAGTAAGAAAAAGGAAGTAAATTTTATTGAGGTGGAAACAAACCATGAGAGACTCTTAACAATAGAGAACAGGCTAGATTGGTGGTGGGTATTAAGAAGGACACATGTTATGATGAGCACTGGATATTGTATAGAAGTGACGAATCACTGAATGCTACTCCTGAAACCAGTATCCGTATGCATGTACGTGTGTGTGTATGTGTATGTTTACATTTATATTTATATATATATACACACACACACGCATATTTTTATAAATGTACATATGTGTATATATATGTATTTAGAGAGAGAGAAGGAGGAAGTAGAGCAGAGAGACTCTCAGGCTCCACACCCAACACAGAGCCTGATGCAGGGCTTAATCTTAAGACCCTGAGATCATGACCTAAACCGACATCAGGAGTCATACGCTTAACCAAGCAACCCACCCAGGTGCCCCTACTCCTGAAACCAATATTCTACTGTATGTTAACTAACTAGAATCTGAATTAAAATTTGTTCAGGTGGTGGCCCAAAATTGGTCCTGCAACCCTCAGCCCATCTTGCACCTCAAGCCTAAGTAAAAGGCAGCTAGGCACTTATGAAATAATTTAGATTTGAGGATTTCTTTGTTAACCATATTTGGTGATTTGTATGTTTCCATAGTGGGAGGGAGGTTTCACCCTCATGCCAAGCTGTAGTGAGGGACGCTTTAAGAGAACCACGTAGAAGTTTTGACATAAGACCTGTGGAACTCATAAGACTCTGACTACTTCCTGCTTTTTATCTGAAAAAACATTCAAGGGCAGAGACTTGGAGGAACTTCCCCTGATGGCATAATAAGGAAAGTAGGTTATAGCAGTGTGAGATGAGGAAGGTCATAGAACAAGATTTGTCTCAAGAAGACCCCATCTGATGGGGCGCCTGGGTGGCTCAGTGGGTTAAAGCCTCTGCCTTCCACTCAGGTCATGGTCTCGGGGTCCTGGCATCAAGCCCCGCATCGGGCTCTCTGCTCAGCGGGAAGCCTGCTCCCCACCCCACTCTGCCTGCCTCTCTGCCTACTTGTGATCTCTGTCTGTCAAAATAATAAATGAAATTTTTTAAAAAAGAAGAAGAAGAAGAAGATCCTGTCTGAGAGGTCTTCCTGCCAGGGCTAGGTGACCCCAATAGAAAACGTCTCTGATTGTATTGCCAGAAGCAGAAAGTGGCAAGAGAGAGACAAGGGACAGCTGGAGAAGGGATGGTTGGGAAGGGGAGAGTCTCCAAAGAACTCATACAAGTGCCCAGGAAAGAAAGAGACAGAATTTTGGCACATCCCACAACCAGGCACTAACAAAGCCACATTATCACTCTTCTTTCCAAGAAACATCTTGTCATCGTGCCTCTTTTTGTACTCCCATCCTTTTCTCACTAGCTCCAAGCTTCAAAGGTCAGGAGGCAGTAAGGTGAGTGGGGGAGGCAGATTAGGACAAGAAGATAAGAAAGCTGGAGGAGGGAGGGACCCTTAAATTTCAGGACACACCAAATGTTTGATATTAAGTTAGACTAGTATCATTGGACTGATATGATACTGCTAATATGTGGTGGTTACTGGAAAAAATTTGGGATTGTTCAAAGTGCAAGAGGGGAAACTCCACTTAACACAGGGTTTTTTTTTTAAGATTTTATTTATTGGGGCACCTGGGTGGCTCAGTGGGTTAAAGCCTCTGCCTTCGGATCAGGTCATGATCCCTGAGTCCTGGGATTGAGCCCCACTTTGGGCTCTGTGCTCCATGGGGAGCCTGCTTCCTCCTCCTCTCTCTCTCTCTGGCTGCTTCTCTGCTTGTGATCTCTGTCAAATAAATAAATAAAATCTTTATATTGATATTAAAAGATTTTATTTGACACAAAGAGAGAGAGTAAAAGCAGGGGGCAGTGCAGAGGGAGAGGGAGAAGCAGACTCCCCGCTGAGTGGAGAGCCCAATGCAGGCCTCGATCCCAGGACTCCGAGATCATCACCTGAGCCAGAGGCAGACATTTAACTGACTGAGCCACCCAGGTGCCCCTCCGCATAACACAGTTAGAATCTATGAAAAATAAATCTCTTTCATATTTTTGTCCCTTTGAATCTACTTCATTCAATAAATTATTTGTAGGCATCTTATACTTAATATGTCCATAAGTCAGAAGTCTTGATTTTCTTACTTTTCTGAATCATGGCCTGACTACCACCCAGTTGCACAAACCCAAACCTCAGGAATTCTCCTGGCTGCTCTGTAACTTCCAGTCCGTCAGCAAGTCTTGTTGACTCTTCATCTAAAGTGAGTCCCAAGTCTGCTTTCTTCTTGTAAGTTCCAAATGCATGCAAACTCCTTTGGCTTACAAAGTCCTACATGTTATATTCCCTGCCTGCCTTTATAACCTTATTTTCTGCTATTCCCCTGCTCATTCACACATTACTCAACTATGTCAAGATTATTCCTGTCTCAGGACTTTTCCATTTGTTTTATCTGCTTTGGATGTTATTCTACTAGATATTTAAAAATCTTGCTTCTTTTCAATTAGTCCCATCACTGCTCAAATGCCACCTCCTCAAAGATGCCCTTCCTGACCACTATGTTTAAAGGATTCCATCTCCTGCTTCATAACTTTCTAGCACACCACATCTTTTATAGCATTTACAACAATCAGAATATTTCTTGTTTATTTCTTTATGTGCTTAATTACATTCTCCAGAATGTAATTTCCATGATCTGTCTTGTTCACTACTGCATCTCCAGTGCTTAGGGCATTTCCTAGAATATAATAGGATCTCAACTATGAGTTGAATGAATGAATGCATTGAGTGAATTACCAGAAATCTATCCTTACAACAACCATGACACTGAGGTGGTGATAGCAGCTTATGCATTTATTCGGTCAATTACTGCTTTTTATCAGTAATCACAGGTGCATGTTTTTCCACTGTGACTTTGGCCATCACTTTCATAATAGCAGGTTTTCTGGAGTACCACTCTCAAAGTAACCTTTAGGGGGCATCTCATTCTCACAGGTCTGCTGGGTCCTACCATCCGAGCTGAGGTTTATGACACAGTGGTCATCATACTTAAGAACATGGCTTCTCATCCTGTCAGTCTTCATGCTGTTGGTGTATCCTATTGGAAAGCTTCCGAAGGTGAGTCAAATGCCCTCCTATTCTCCTGTCATCTCAGGGATAAAGGTCTTACAGCTAGCGAATGGTGCACTCACTAAGTTCATAATACATCACCTCAGTGCTACCTGGCCATCCTCACCCCAAGACAGCTTTACACATTGTTGGCCTCTTATCAGACCTCCCCCACCTCTTTCCAGATCCTACCATTAGGAAAAAGGATATTCATTTCTTAATGAAATGCTTCGAACAAAGAAAGGTATAGAAAATAATATAGCACACAAACACTGTAACCATCACCTCACTTTGCAAATCTTGTTTTTTTTTTCTTTAAAGATTTGTTTATTTATTAGAAAGAGCACAGAGCCCATTGTAGGACTTGATCCCCTGATCCTGAGATCATGACCTGAGCCGAAACCAAGAGTTGGACACTTAAACAACTGCACCACCCAGGTGCCCATCACTTTGCCAAATCTTAAAATTTTGCCATCTTTGCTTTAAGAAATTAACCATTATATAGTTGAATCCCTTTATGTAACCCCTCAGGCTCCCTTCCTCTCTATCCAAATATATCTGCTCTCTAGAATTTAATAGCAGCCCATGATCACACAGGCACCTTAACCACACACTCCATCCCCAGGGGCCAACTCAGGTTTTTAAAAATGTCTTCAACTCTCTGGCAAGTGCAGCTGTTGGTCTGATGTTGCTTCTAGATGAAGCCAGTAGTATCTAGTGCACACTGAAGAGGGTGTCCCTATACGCCGGAGAGGCTCACTTTAGAGTGGGGACTACCCACCTGTACTTTGGAGGTGGCCTTTGGCTGCTGAAAGTCTGTAGTAAAAGTAAAGGCAGAGTAGGGGCAGTGCAGGGATCTCCTGTACTGCTCTGTTGGTGAGGTCCCACTCTCAGATGTATAGATGTGATAGGATAAGATAAGGTATAAACGAAGAGCCCTCGCAGTGCTTTGGGCTGCTCTGCAACTCCAGAGACCATTATAAACCCAGGAAGTTATGGTGAAGTTGCTAGAAAAGTGTTTCAGTAGAAGCATAAGGCATTATGTCATTTCCTTTAAATATTCTCTACTTCTGTCCACTGAAATGACCTAGAAGCAAAGACATTTCATTAACAGTGAACACAGATAGTGCTCAATTTAGAATCGAGGTATCAAACTAATCCATGGGTTAATTTTAACATCACTAAGCATGAGACAGCCAGAAAATATCTGCCCCTGATGTGATCTCCTCCTCCAGAGAAGAGCCAAGTTAAAAACATTTCTAAAAATGGCCACCTGGGTCACTCAGTTGGTTAAGTGTCAGACTCTACATTTTGGCTCAGGTCATGATCTCAAGATTGTGAGGTGGAGCCCCATGTCAGCCTCTGTGTGGGGTGTGGAATCTGCTTAAGATTCTCTTTTTCCCAGTCCCTCTGCCCTCGTTCCCCTTCCCCTCTCTAAAAAACACTTGAAAATCTCTGTATCTCATCTTTCTGTGACCTTCACCAGTGCTCATTAAAGAGTCGGGGACAAAGTACATAACCAATGTATGTCTGTTGAGTTGAATTGATATGAACTAGGTAAAAAGATGCAATGATAGAAGTAGTATTATTGGTCACAGTGAGAACCACTCAACCCCTCATGTTTGCATTAGTGGTCTACAACTTCTGCGGGATATATGAGGCTGCTTGATAGTCTTCCAAATTAAGTTGCAGAAAGTCTATTTCTTGTGTAGAATCTACTGGTAACAATAAACTTGCTATATTTCCTTGAGTGAACAATGCATATGGAAAGGACAGTGTTATCTCTTCTTGCTTTAGGTGCTGAATATGAGGATCAGACCAGCCAAAAGGAGAAGGAAGATGATAAAGTCATTCCTGGTGAAAGCCATACTTATGTCTGGCAGGTCCTGAAAGAGAACGCTCCAATGGCCTCTGATCCGCCATGTCTCACCTACTCATATTTTTCTCATGTGGACCTGGTGAAAGACCTGAATTCAGGCCTCATTGGAGCCCTGCTGGTTTGCAAAGAAGGTAAGTGTGAGAGAGGGTAGGACTTACCCTGCAAAGAGGGTAGGACTCAGACGAAATAAGCAGGAAGGGTCAATTATTAAAGCATCTGCGTTTTCATCTAAAAGAGGTTTCTATTCCTTAGCAACATGCCCATGGAAAGAAAATATTACATTCTGTGGACTGTATCAGTAGTTCCTTTTGTAAATTTTGTGTTAAGTTCCCTGAAAGCTTTCTGGAGATAAACACATCCATCTGTGTCATCTGTATCCCAAAAGCATTTAAAACTTGTAGAAAAGCAGGGCGCCTGGGTGGCTCAGTCGGTTAAGTCCAACTGTTGATTTCAGCTCAGGTCATAATCTCAGAGTTGTGAATTCGAGCCCCACACTGAGCTCTGCACTGGGCTCTGTGCTGGGTGTGGAGCCTACTTTAAAAAAAAATCGGAGAAGAGTAAACATTTGTAACTTGTTCTAAAAATCATCTTAAATTTAATTAACCCTTGGGCACCTGGGTGGCTCACTCAGTTAAGCGTCTGCCTTCAGCTCAGGTCATGATCCTGGGGTCCTAGGATGGAGCCCCACATCGGGCTCCCTGCTCAGTGCGGAGACTGCTTTTCCCTCTGCCTCTGCCTCTCCTTATGCTCAGGCTGTCTCTCTCTCTCTATCAGATAAATAAAATCTTTTTTAAAAAGGTTTTATTTATTTATTTGACAGACAGAGATCACAATTAGGCAGAGAGGCAGGCAGAGAGGGAGAGAGAGAGGGAAGCAGGCTCCCTGCCGAGCAGAGAGCCTGATGCAGGGCTTCATCACAGGACCTGGGATCATGACCTGAGCCGAAGGCAGAGGCTTTAACCCACTGAGCCACCCAGATGCCCCTAAATAAAATCTTTTAACATTTTTTCATTAAACGTGTTTTTATTTTATAGTTTAAGAGTATACACTAAATTAGGAAAGTAAACATTGCAGAATTTTCTTTAATTCTAAGTTTTTAATAGTGAAATCAGTTTCACAGGACTTTTGTTTCTCCTTTAACTATTAGTGCATGTCCCCACAATTTAGTGGCTAAAAATTACAATCATCATTTATCATTTCTCATGGTTTTTGTGGGTCTCTCATGGAATTTGGGAGTATGTTTACTTGGTGGTCTATCTCAGGATTTCTTTTTTTTTTAATGCTCTAGCCAGTTATTTATTGTTTGTGTATTTATTTATTGAAGAGAGAGAACAGGCATACACATGCATGTGGAGGGAGGGGCGGAGGGAGAGGGGGAGAATCTTCAAGCAGGACCCATGAGATCATGACCTGAGCTGAAATCAAGAGTCGGACAATTAAGTGACTGAGTCCCCCAGGTGCCCCAAAATGCCCTAGCCCTTTAGACTCTTCCCAAGGGTTTCTAGTCCCTGCCTTGAAGACTTGGCTTTGGAAGAGGAAGAGAAGAGCAGGAAGAGGCACCAGAGCCCTGGCCAGACTGGAGACTCTGTATGAGCCGTTCTACCTCTCAGAATGGCAGCTGGGTGTGCAGTACTCTTGTCTGAGGATTTCTGATGAGGCTGTAGTCAGATAGAGCTGGAGCCAAGGTCATCCTGAATGAACGTTTATTCACATGTCTGGCACCTAGGCTTGGAAAACTCAGATAGTTGGAGTTTTCCACAGGGTCTTTTCAGCATGGGAGCTAGAGGGTACCCAGAAGTCTTTTTCCTTTTAAATGGACTTTGTTTTAGAGTAGTTTTTAGAGTAGTACTTTTTAGAGTAGTTTTAGGTTTACAGGAAAACTAGGCAGAAAGTAGAGAATTCTCAAATACCACCTGTCTGCACCCCACCCACAGCCTCCCCCACTGTCAGCATCCTGTGCCAGAGCAGTATGCTTGTTATAACTAGTGAGCCCACAGTGACGTAGCATTATCGCCCGAAGTCCTGCTGTGCACGAGGGTTCACTCTTGTTGGTTTACAGGCTACAGGTTTGGACAAATGTAGAATGACACGTATCTACCATTATAGTATCATACAGAATAGTTTCCCTATTCTAAAAATCCTCTGTGTCCCACCTCTTCATTCTTTCCTGCCCCACTCCCTAGCAACCACTGAGTTTTTAAATTATCTTATCAATAGTTTTGCCTCTTCCAGAGTGTCAAATAGTTGAAATTATACAGTACATAGCCTTTTCATATTGATTTCTTCCACTTAGTAATGCATTTAGGCTTTCTCCATGTCTCTTCATGGCCTGATAGTGTTTTTCTTTTTAGCACTGAGTAATGTTCTGTTGTCTGAACGGACCACAGTTTATCCATGCACAGTGAAGGACATCTTGGTTGCTTCCAAGTTTTAAACAGTTATGAATAAATCTGCTGTAAATATCCATGTGCAGGTTTGTATGCACACATAGTTCTCAGGCTCTTCGGGTAAATGCCAAGGAACACAGCTGCTGGATCGTATGGCAAGAGTATGCTTTCTTTTGCAAGAAACCACCAACCTCTTTTCCAAGGTAGCTCTATCATTTCGCATGAATTGGACTTCCTGCTGTTCCTCACCCTCACCAGCTTTTGGTGTTGCCAGTGGTTTGGAATTTGGCCATTCTCATAGGTATGTAGTGGTATCAAATTGCCTTAATTTGCATTTCCATGGTAATATGTGATGTGTGAAGCATGTTTTTATTTAAAAGATTTTATTTGTTTTTTTGAGAGAGAGAGAGAGCACAAACAAGGGGAGGGGCAAAGGGAGAGGGAGAAGCAGTCTCCCTGCTGAGCAGAGAGCCCCGCGTGGGTCTCAATCCCAGGACCCTGGGATCATGACCTGAGCCAAAGGTGTATGCTTCACTGACTGAGCCACCCAGATGCCCCAAGCATCCAACTCTTGATCTCAGCTCGGGTCTTGATCTCAGGGTCATGAGGTCAAGCCCCATGTTGGGCTCTGCACTAGAAGTGGGGTGAGTGAGTGAGTAAATAAATAAATAAATAATCAAACCATGTTTACATATAAAATATAAACAAATAAATTTAAAATCAAAAGAATTAATTGGCAGAAGATTGACTTAAAAAGTCAACAGAGAGGCATCTGGCTGGCTCAGGTCTTGGGGTTCTAAGTTTGAGCCCCACATTGAGTATAAAGGTTACTTAAAAATCAAATCCTTATTAAAAAAATAAAATCAATTTTTTAAAAAGTAAAATTTTTTCAAAAAGTCAACAGATATTCTAGTCTGGATAAGATGGAAGAAACATAATGCCTTTATCTCCCATTGAGCTCAACTATAGAACCTTGACAAAATGCATAGCCCAGCCATTTGAGAATCCTAAAAATCAAATAGAACAAACAGGTCAGGAAAGGCATCAGAATTTAAAGTACCACCAAACTGGCAGGGAATTTCTGTTTTTATTGCCCTTCAGTATTCCCCAAATGGGCAAAGGATGTAAATAGATATTTCTGGGGGGGAAAAAGATACAGAAATGATGAACAAGTATGTCAAAAGGTGCTCAGCATCACTCATCACCAGGAAAATACAAATCAAAACCACAAAGAGATACCACCTCACACCTGTCAGAATGGCCAAAAGTAACAACATCACAGGGTGTTGGTGAGGATGTGGAGAAAGGGGGACCTTCTTGCACTGTTCGTGGGAATGTAAATTGGTGCAGCCACTCTGGAAAATAGGGTGGAAGGTCCTCAAGAAGGTAAACATAGAACTACCCTACAACCCAGCAATTGCACTACTGGGTATTTACCCAAAGGATACAAAAATACAGATTCAAAGACATACATGGACCCCAGTGTTTATAGCAGCGTTATCTACTATAGCCAAATTATGGAAAGGGGCCATCCATTCATTGACTGATGAATGGATAAAAAAGTTGTGATGTGGGGTGTGTGTGTGTGTGTGTGTGTATGTAGGAATATTATTATATGATGGAATATTACTCAGCCATAAAAAAGAATGAACGTTTGCTATTTTCAACGACAGTGATGGCACTAGAGGGTATAATGCTAAGTGAAATAAGTCAGAGAAAGACAAATATCATATGATTTCACTCATGAAACTTAAGAAACAAAACAAATGAACAAATGGAAAAAAAAAAGAAACAGAGAGGTAAATGAAGAAACAGACTCTTAACTATAGAGAACTCAGTGATGGTTACCAGAGGGGAGGTTCAGTGGGAGAATGTTACATAGGTGGTGGGGATGAAGGAGGACACTTGTGGTGAGCACTAGGTGCAGTATGGAACTGCTGAATCACTGTACTGTACACCTGAAACTAATATTACACTGTATGTTAACTAACTGGAATGAAAATAAAAATTTTAAAAATGTGTATTTTACATACTGTCAATGAATAACTGGAAACCAGAATGTAAGAAAGAATGTTTACAATAGCTCCAAAAATTGAAAGTTTAGGTATCTAACAAAACATTTACATTATCTGTATGGTGAAAACTACAAAGTAAAAGAAATCAGAGAGACATACTGTTTGTGTGCTATAAGATTCAACATAGTAAAGATCTCAGTTCTCCCCAGTCTGTAGATTTTTAGGAAGCTTTTTTTGTGGTCACAAACAAGCTGTTTCTGAAATTTATATGAGAAGGCAAAAGTACTAGATTTGCTAAAATGATTTTGCAAAATAATAAATTTGGAGTAATAATCTTACTCAATTTTACAATTTACTATAAAGCTGCAGTAATCATAGCATGTGTTAGTTAGCAGAATAGACCTATAGATCAGTGAAATAGAATAAAAGTCCAGAAATAGATCCCCACAAATAAGCCCAATTGATCTGGTGCAAAAATAACTCAAAGGAGGCATCTTGTCAACAAATGGTGCAATGATCTTAGACCTTATAGTTATACAAAGAGTAACTCAAAATGAGTTATAGCTCTAAATGTGATATATACAACCATAACACTTTTAGGAAACATAGTAGAATATCTTCATGACCTGGGGTTAAGAGAAGGGTTCTGAGAAAACATCACACAATTCCTAAAAGAAAAAATTGATATACATGACTTCATCAACACTAGTAATTTTTGCTTTTGTAATGAAAAAACACTTTTAAGAGAATGAAGGGACAAGCTACAGACTGGGAGGAAATATTTGCCAATCACGTATCTGGCTAAGGACTGATGTGATATATATAAAAAATATGTTCACAGTAATGAAGATATTTTTTGTTTTATATATGTATTATACATGTGTATTATATGTGTATGTATTATATATAAAACTTGTTCTCAAATCTCAATAATAAGGAAAAAAACCAATTTTTTTAAATGGACAAAATAGGAGTGACTGGGTGGCTCAGTCGTTAAGTGTCTGCCTTAGGCTCAGGTCATGATCCCAGATTCCTTGGATACAGCCCCATATCAGGCTCCCTGCTCAGCGGGGAGCCTGCTTCTCCCTCTCCAGCTCCCCCGTGCTTGTGTTCCCTCTCTCGCTATGTCTCTCTCTGTCATAAATAAATAAAATCTTTTTTAAAAATGCTTAAAAAGGTAAATGGACAAAATATTTGAATAGATAATTCACCAAAGAAGATATACAAGTGCCAAATACATGAAAAGATGTCCAGTATCATTGGCCATGAGGAAAATGCATGTTAAAACCACAATGAAATATTGCTACAAATATATTAGAATACCTAATGTGATAATTTAAAAATTGTTAAGTATGCTGTTAAGAATGCAGACCAACAGGAAGTCTCATACATTCTTGCTGGGGATTCACAATGGTATAGCCACTCTGGAGTACAGTTTGGCAGTGTAATGTTGTGATTTAAATAAAATATATATTTGGTTTTCATCTCCTTCCTGGTAGAGCTTCTAAAACCCTTGAGATTTTCTGTGATGAGAGCAGTAACAATGTCTTTTGTTATGTTACTGAGGTGATTTTTGGCCCCTACACCTAAGGATGGGGGCTGATCACCGGTAGAGTCAACAAAGTGATTAGAGGGCTGGAATTTTCAGTCACACTTGGCCCCATGCCCCCACCCCTCTCCCACAAGGGGAAAGGAGAGAGGGGCTGAATATTGAGCTCAGTCGCCAATGGCTAATGATTTAAGCAATTACACCTATGTAATGAAGAGTTCATAAAACAAAAAACAAGGACAGTGTTCAAAAAGCTTCCAGGTTAACCTGTGGGAATCTACACCATCTCCGGGTAGATAGTTTCTGAATTTTACTGATACAGGCAACAAAATGGATGAATCTCTAAGGCACTATACTGAGTAAAAAAGCCAATCTCAAAAGGGTATATATTGTATGGTTCCATTTATATGACAATCTCAAAAATACAAATATATTGCAATGGGAAACAGATCAGTGTTTGCCAAGGGTTACGGTTAGGGATATTGGAACTGTCCTGTGTCCTGATGGTTGGTGGTTTCATGTTAAGACCCATAGGCTTGGGACGCCTGGGTGGCTCAGTGGGTTCAGCCTCTGCCTTTGGCCCAGGTCCTGATCTCAGGGTAGGGGGGCAGAGCCTCGCATCAGGCTCTCTGCTTAGCAGGGAGGCTGCTTCCCTTCCTCTCTCTCTGCCTGCCTCTCTGCGGGCTTGTGATCTCTGTCTGTCAAATAAATAAATAAAATCTTAAAAAAAAAAAAAGACCCATAGGCTCACACACCAAAAGTAAGAGTCAGTTTCACTGTTTGGTGATTTTAAAAATAAAAAGAATCCAAATGTTTTCAGACAGCTTTACCTGTAATTTAAATTTGTATAGGTGAGTTACTTTCTTCATCCAATCAAAGCCTTACTTTCAAGTGTCAAGAGTACAAGAAAAAAGGAGAACATCATAAACAAAAATCTTCCTGCTTAAAGTAAGCCTGCAATGAAAATTTCCCAATCAAATGAAGACAACCAACAAATTCAATAATTAAAGCATGTTGGTATACATGGTGTTCACTTAAAGTGTGATTATAGGTGTTTAATATTGATTATTGTTATTTTGGTCATAATACTTTGCAAAAGTAAAAAAGAGTTAAAAGCATAATAGAAATTTTCTATGTTTAATTGCCTATATACATACTTTCCTTGAACAGTATTTACAGTTTTTGTAATCTTTCTCTTTTATATTTGTTCTGAACACATGCATATATATATATGACATATGATTATATGAGCTTGTATTTTGCATGTTTCTTTAATTTCATTTTCTGAGTGATTCATTTTTCTTATATTTTATATAAGTACCAGTCTGCAACAAATCTGAAGTGAAAAAAAGTCATTTACCCCAAATAGTTTTAGAAGAACTGGTATAGGACACCTGACACCAAAGAAGCAATACTGTGGTCAAGTTAACAGGGTTAGGGTTAACCCAAGAGACAAAGCAATAGGAGAAGTGACATCTTCTCCTAGTGTTGATTTCCCATGATAGGGTTCTCAAAAGAAGGTGAATGTTCTCACTTCTTTTTCAGGGAGCCTGGCCAGAGAAAGGACACAGGACTTGCCTGAATTTGTACTGCTTTTTGCTGTGTTTGATGAAGGTTAGTGACCTGCAGTATGAACTTGGGGCTCCTAAAAAAGTAGGATATGTTAATTATGTTAATTTAATCTGGTGTTTGAGAATAAGGGCTGCTGTTGTCCAGAGGAAGTGATTATAAAGTAAGATCATAAACTACTGTTCAGGAATGAAGGAGATGGGGATGAAACTGAGTTTCAAGAAAAAGTACAGCCTGAGTTCCATTGGGAGCTATCCGGTAAGAAGATAGAGGAGCTGGATAGCAGGCTGGGCTCATGCCCTTTATTATATTTATCCATCAGCTTGTCGATGGACGCTCGGGTTGCATCTGTGTCTTGGCTTTTGAAGGTAATGCTGCAATAAACACAAGGTGCCGATATCTCGTTGCTGGGTCATAGGGCAGTTCTATTTTCAACTTTTTGAGGAGCCTCCACGCTGTTTTCCTGAGTAGCTGCACCAGCTTGCATTCCCACCAACAGTGCAGGAGGGCCCCCCTTTCTCTGCATCCTCACCAATACCTGTCATTTCCTGACTGGTTAGTTTTAGCCCTTCTGACGGGTGTGAGGTGGAATCTTACTGGAACTGGCTCATCTTGAAACGGAAAGTTTGGGAGCACCTGAGGGGTGCAGCCGGTTGAGCATCCACTCTTGGCTTTGTCATGATCTCAGGGTCTCGGGATCAAGCCCCGTGTCCTGCTCCGCGCTCAGCAGGGTGTCTGCTTGAGGATTCTTTCTCTCCCTCTGTCTCTGCCCCTCCCCCCTCTAAAAATTTAAATAAATCTTTAAAAAAGTACCGAAAGTGTATCTTCTTTAGACAGCAATTTCCCGTTTCCTCCACCCCTCTGTTCCTGGCAGGCAGCATTGCACTGTGTCACTTAAACCTCTCTGTGTGTCAGTGTCCTCACATTGAAAACTGAAATAATAGTCCTTTCTTCATAGCACAGTGGTGGGGATTAAGTGATTTAAGTTAAGTAACTTAGAACATGATGTGGTGCAGAGCTTCTGCCACCTCCTCCTGTCCCATCTTTTCCTCCCACACTGCCTCTATGGAATTGAGGACCCCATCATCCCTCTCCTGACGAATCCCCCTGTCTTTTCGTGTCCCCTGACACTCCATTCCTGATGACCTGTCTGGCCTCACTGTGCTGCTCTCCCTGCCTCACGGCTCAGGCCTCAGCCACCTGGGGCACAGTTTGTGTCACACTGAAATATGCCGTGCGCTGCTCGTTTATGCTGTTACCTCTGCCTAAAAAATGAAGTGTTCCCTTCTCTTTCCGGTCTGGGTTAGAAGCCTCTTTATATGTTCCCATAGCACCTGGAGTTTCCTCCTTATCACACAAAACCATCACTGCCTGCTTGTTTGATTTTATATCCCTTTCCCTTCAAGTAAAGTGAAGTCCCTTCCCCTTTCTGTGTCTGTATTAGCCTGTTCTAATCTCTGTTACATGATTCTTCACTCTGTTATAATTGTCAGTTTCTCCAGTCAAGCTAAATTGTAAGCAGAGAAGACACAGTCTCTGTCCTCAGTGCCTAGCACTCAGTAGCGCTCAGTAAATGTGTTTGGCTGGGTGCTTCAGAAACCTTCAGCATTCGCTGTCAGCCCTTTACACAAAGGGCCAAGTTCAGGGAAATAGCTGTCCAATAATAATATTTACAGCGCTTTCACTGTTACTCGTTTCAGGGAAGAGGTTGGAAAGCTTTCATGTTCTTGAGTTTTCATTACTACAACCTGAGTGAAGCAATTTGGACAGGGACTGAGAGCCCTTTTCTAAGATGATTTTCATTTGCTTCCTTTTAAATGACTCCGTGAATGAATAGAATGAAGTCCTCATGGCACCAACTAACCAATATTCTCCCTTCTCATTATCGTTTGCCACCATCTCTTCCCATCTACTGTCGTGGACAAATATAGGGAGAGATAATCAGTTTGAGCAAGAAATGTCTGCCTTTTGGTAATTGTCCTCTGCCTTTCTCTTACTGACTTGGAGCGCAAGTCATCCATGCCTACTGTGCTAACAAAAATGCTTAAGCTGTGAGCAGTCTTTGCCCCATGGGAGGGAAGGAGAGAGGGAGGGTGACTCATGAGACAGACAGTTAACTGGCCCTGTCTTTGCCTCCTCTCTCATCAGGGAAAAGCTGGCACTCAGAAACAAATGAGTCTTCAGATCTGGCATCTGCTCAGGCCCGGCGTGAAATGCATACAGTCAATGGCTACATAAACAGGTCTCTGCCAGGTACGTACTCACCTGCTCCAGAATCTACAGGGTCAGGGCGTCTAGGTGGCGCCGTCGGTGAAGCATCTGACTCTTGGTTTCAGCTCAGGTCATGATCTCAGGGTCATGGGATGGAGCCCTGCTTTGTGTGCCGCCCTCAAGAGTGAGTCTGCTTGAAGTCCTTTCCCTCCCCCCACCCTTTCCTCCATGCATGCTCTCTTGCCCTCTCTCTGAAATAAATAAAATCTTTAAAAAAAATAATTTGCATTTACTATGAGAACTTTCCTCTCTGCGTCTCTTCAGACAACTCTGTGTCCCAGAGGAAAGCCCACTGAATTTGGGCATCTGGTGGGGTCTTAAACTGAAGTGGCAGATTACTCTTCCAGTTACCTAAACACGAAGGCCTGCCCGTGTACACAGAGCTCAGAGATTTCTCTTTTCTTTTACTTAAATGTATGTGGACAGCCAAGGCTGAACAAATACTTAGGGGAAACCTGAAAAATAACAGGGATATGCAAAGATAAACAAAAAATAATAATAATCCCAGAAGAAAACAAGAAATACTTAGAAGAGAACTTGTTGAAAGGTCTACTTAGTATTTTCATCAAGATTCAAGAAGATACTACATCAATCAAGTAATAATTTGATTCTGTGAAAAAGAATCAAACCAAGAGTGTGCTCACAAAAGTTAGGAATATGATTGTCAAGATACAAACTCAAGGGGCGCCTGGGTGGCTCAGTGGGTTAAAGCCTCTGCCTTCGGCTCAGGTCATGATCTCAGGGTCCTGGGATCGAGCCTCGCATCAGGCTCTCTGCTCAGCAGGGAGGCTGCTTCCCTTCCTTTCTCTCTGCCTGCCTCTCTGCCTACTTGTGATCTCTGTCTGTCAAATAAATTTTAAAAAAATCTTTAAAAAAAAGATACAAACTCAATAGAAGATAGTTAGAATAGAGAAAATCTCCCAGAAAGTAAAACAAGATTTGCGATACACTTTTTTAAAGATTTCATTTATTTATTTGACAGAGAGAGGGAGATCACTAGGCAGAGAGGCAGAGAGAGAGGGAGAAGCAGGCTCCCTGCTGAGCAGAGAGCCCGATGTGGGGCTCAATCCCAGAACCCTGGGATCATGACCTGAGCTGAAGGCAGAGGCTTAACCCACTGAGCCACCCAGGCACCCTTGGAATACACTTTAAAACAGATTTTAAAAACCAAAGAAATGAGAGAAGTGTTAAGGATGAAAATATTTGAGTCTTCATACTCAAATTTCCCAGCAGGATAAATAAAAAAAGATCCCCACACAGAATTATGATTGTGGAATTTCAGAGAACAAAGAAAAGATGTTAAAGCTTCCATTGGAAGAAACAGGTCCCATACAAAGGCACGAGAATTCAAATGGCTATACCATTCAGGGATTTTTAGGCCTTACTAGAAAGTTTGGACTTGAGACAGACAACAGATAATGGTAGCTAGTTTGAATTAAGATGGTGCAGGTAGTAATGATGGTGAAAAATATGTATATTTGAAAGCATCAGGAGCCAAAATATGAGACAGCTGTGCCCTAGTAGTTAACGGGGTGAGATCTAAACATACAGCTCCTTGGGTTCCAATTTAAGCAAGTTAACTAACCTTTCCAGCCATCAGTTTCCTCTCCTGATAACAATAGTTTCTACATTCATGTGGTTACTGGAGATGAATGAATTAGAAAGTTAAAACTTGTAAAATCATTTGAACAGTGCTTGATCTAAAGCAAGTGCTCAGTAAATATTAGTATTAATTATATTGCCGTAATTAGTGTCAGACTGGACTTAAGAAGTGAGAGTGGTGAGAAGACTAACTCTCACTTGCATAATTTTGATATTGTTCAAAGGAAAATATTTATTAATGAGAATAAGCCTTGGGCTGAGTCCTAGGTGATCCATCATTTGATGAAAGGTCAGGAAAGGAGGCAAAAGAAGGAGCTTTCCAAACAATAGGGGGAAAAACCCAGAGAGGTGTTGGCACAGAGGCCAAGGGCAAAAGACCTTGGCAAGAGCTTTAGTTGGGCAGTACCCTAGCATCCTTGGAAAGTTGGGTTCCAGTCAGTAATAAAATTTGAAGGTCAATTTGTCCATCCTATCCTAGAGACGTGTTTTCCATTTCAAGTTCTCTACTTCTTGACCATAACTGTCTTATTCCTATGTTATAGGTCTGACTGGATGTCACAAGAGATCAATTTATTGGCATGTGATTGGAATGGGCACCACCCCCGAAGTGCACTCAATTTTTCTTGAAGGTCACACATTTCTTGTGAGAAACCATCGCCAGGCCTCCTTGGAGATCTCACCGTTAACTTTCCTGACTGCTCAGACATTCCTGATGGACCTCGGCCAGTTTCTACTGTTTTGTCATATCCCTTCCCACCAACATGGTAATATCTGTTGATCTTGAAAATGAGTATTATAAATATTCAGCTCTTCTTTTACTGTCTACTGTACCTTGAATGTAAGAGGGCTTGAGTGTTAGTAGTACTGGGGAATTTTTAGTTTAAATGACTATGATGGTGGTGATGCCCAGAGCAATGAATAGCAAAGACAAGAGGATGTTGCAGAAACTCCAGACTACTGGTGAACACGGAGGCACCCCAGCACTACCTGGAAGGAGGTGAGAGACATGGGAAATACAGAGCCTGTCAGGGATAGCGGACCCTGGGAGAAGCAGTGTGGGAGTGGAAGTTGGTGAGCATATGTGAAACACCCTGTGAGCCTTTCAGACTTCTTCATGAGGACTTTGCACAGGATTAGAGGTCCTGTCTAAGCAAGTTGGGGCAATAATACAGCCTCAAACTGTTGTTAATGTGACCTCATTTGTAGCTACAGACTGAAAATTCATGTAACACGATCACCCCACCCCCATTTTCCTTCTTGTGTATTTACTCTGCTAACTCTTTATGTTGGCTCATTCTAACATCCCTCTTCATCTTCTCCTCTGCGGTGGCCCATGAGGGTTGTTGGAGGAAAATGTCGTGTGTAACAGCACTTGTTTGTTCTAGCAGTCTTCAAATTCCTTGCCTTGGAAAAGAGATTTGATCTGGCTCTGCCTCCACTATTTTCCCTTTATGGTCTATGAGCAACGTTGCCTTGTTTATGGTTCTCCATAGTGATGAAGAGTAGGGGCCTCTTTCCTCATCTGTTGTATAATATTTATGAAGCTTTTGACAAGATGTTAGAAGACAAAGGAAGTTGATCCTAAAGTCACAGAGGAATAGCTCATTTACTTGGATGCAGATTGGTCGTTACCTAGTTTGAGGAGTTTACTTAATGTTTTATTATTTTGACTTTTTCCCACTGATTTTAATCCTCATTTTTCAGAAAAATGCTTTATCCTATTGGACCACAGACATTTTTAGATCTAGAATGAATGATGTTTAAAGCCACATGAACCCCAGACTAGTTGCTTGCCTCTCCTGAAATCTACCATATTCCCCATCATCTAGTAAGGTCTGCATTAGTATCGATTTTCAAAATAGCCCTATAGCATAGCTTGGGTGGGAATTATTACTCTCCGCATAGTATAAAGCCAAAGGTGAAATTGAGATTTTTGAGTAGACTTGCTGTAGGGCTTGCAACTAGTCACAGGCAGACATGCTCTTAAAATATATAACATATTGGGCGCCTGGGTTACTCAGTTGGTTAAACAAGTGCCATCAGCTTGGGTCATGATCCTGGAGTCCTGGGATCAAGGCCTGCATCAGGCTCTCAGCTCCACAGGGAGTCTGCCTCTCCCTCTGACTTTCACCTCTCTCATGCTCTCTCTCACTGTCTCTCTCTCAAATAAATAAAATCTTTCAAAATATATATATGTATATATATGTATATATATAACATATATTTCCTTAACTGTTAAGTTGTACCTTTTCATGTTTTTATGAGCTTGGAATGTCTTAAAATTTATATGTACTATGACATTTTTCCTAATAAACCATCAGTGGAGTACATACAGAAATCATTAAGCAACTGGCAGAATGGGGAGCTGGTCTGACCTAGGCATCCAAATGCTGAAAATACACAGTTTCTCAAGTTATAATTAGGGAACTGAAGGGTGATAGGTTCAGAGCCAATTCCAGAAGGAATATATTCATACATATTATAAGAGCAAATGAGTGAGTATTAAAAAGAGGATAAAACATAAAATGGAGGAGAATCAGGCAGAAGGGAAGTGGTGAGTGCAAAGATCATAACCCGAAAGTAGCAGCTATGGGAGAGTGGCAAGATAAGGCTATTGGTGTGGGGAAGGGAACACTTAGGAGAGGGTGCTGAAGGCCCGGTGAGAGACAACAAAGTTGTAGAAGTTAAGGCAAGTCTTATAGGAATCTGACATTGTTGGGTTTGTCTGATCCCAGGTGGTATGGAAGCTTATGTCAAAGTAGATAGCTGCCCAGAGGAGCCCCAACTACGGATGAAAAATAAGGAAGAGGAAAATTATGATGAAGATCTTTATGACTCTGACATGGATGTGATTAGCTTTGATGACGACAACTCCTTTCCTCTCATGCAAATCCGCTCAGTTGCCAAGAAGCACCCCAAAACTTGGGTGCACTATATTGCTGCCGAAGAGGAGGACTGGGACTACGCTCCCTCAGACCCCGCCCCCAGCGATGGGTAAGCGCCTCTTAACACTTGGTATGAACTCGTCCTCATTTTTAAAAGGTTATTCCCAATTATTCAAAACAACCAATCTTCAAGCCGTGTTTATGGTTAGGTACAGATGTGGGATCAAATAAGACAGCCTTACTAACGTAGCTAAGCGTCAGGTATACTTGTATTTTTCTCATGCCTTTCCACCGATTAAATCATTTCAGCTCTTTTATAGCTGGATTTTAGCCTCTCCTCCTCTACCTAGAGTTCTCCATCCCAACATCTCATCTGTTTGTGTCTCATGCAGAAGTTATAAAAATCTGTATTTGAACAATGGTCCTCAGCGGATTGGTAGGAAGTACAAAAAAGTCCGATTTATGGCATACACAGATGAAACATTTAAGACTCGTGAAGCTGTTCAGTATGAATCAGGAATACTGGGACCTTTACTTTATGGAGAAGTTGGAGACACACTGGTGGTAAGTTGAAGAGAAATAAGGTTGGGTAATTATGAAGACAAAGTCTGGAGAATTCTGAGTTTCTAAAAGCTTCATAATTGAGCCTTGTGTTCCAATGGATATGATCTTCTAAAAATTATAAATGTTATACAAATAAATGAAGATTATAAATTTGTTTTAAAAATAGGAGTATGTAGAACACAAATATAATGCCACTCATTAAATGTGTCACCCCTTTGAAATAGTCAGTACATGGTCTTTGTTACATATCCTTATATAATTTTTTCCACTAATTCCTAATTTGGCTCATAGTGTGTTTTTGGATAACCTGTGAATGTAGGTTTTACTTTTCTATTTTGTTTAAACATTTTCTTTATTTATTTGAGAGACTGAGCAAATGAGAGGGGAGCAGAGGGGCGAGGAAAAGCAGCCTTCCTGCTGAGCAGGAAGCCCAACACAGGGCTCTATCCCTGAATGGATCCCAGGACTCTGGGATCATGACCTGAGCCGAAGGCAGACACTTCACCCACTGAGCTGCCCATGTGCCCTGGATTTTACCTTTTTAAAGAGTTGTAAAGAATAATAATAAGAAGAAAAACATGTGACAGAGACTACATATGGCTCATGAAATCTGGAGCATTTACTCTCTGGCCCTTTCCAGAAAATGTCTGCTGACCCCTGATACAAGGTATTAAGAAGGCTTATGCTGCAAAGAACAGGAAACTCAATAAGCCTTGGTTTTTAAAAAAATAGGGGTTTATTTTTTCACACTTGATTTGGAGATAGAGGGTTGTTTGTGTCAACTCAGCTGCTCCGAAATGTTGTGAAGGACGCTGATCATTATACATGGAGTGTTGAGCAGAACACCATGAAACTGTTACCAGTGCCGGAGGAGGACTCCAGCTACATTCCATGCCACCTGCTAGGAGGAGAAATCCAAACACTCTACCCACAGCGTCTTGGTAACAGATATCCCTCAGCAGCCAGCGAAGGGCAGTTGGCCTCTGTGTAGCCCTCTTATGCTGAGACAGAAGGATCCCAACTCCTCCCCCAGGGAGTCTGAAATACTGAAATACTGAAAGCTGAGGGCCTGCCTGAGGGCCACTGATGCATGTGCCTAAGCAGAACAAGGAGTACTCCCTGAGACTGATTGGGCAAGGTGATAAGCCAGCCATAGGCCATGGGGGCTCAAGTCAGGGCCTGGTAAGGGGGTGTCCCAGGCCCAGGCCCGTTCTTACACGGCCAAGCAGGGGTCCAAAGACTGTGCACAAGGACTGCCTTTCCCGGTGTGGAGTTTTGTTAGATACTGCCAAAGTGCCTTCAGCAGTTCTGCCCCAATTTATACCCTCATCAAGAGTGTCTGACTGTGCTTTCCCCACATCGACAGTATCTATTATAAGCCTTCAGAAAATTTTCCAATTTGATGAGATAAGTATTTATATATTGTCTTCATTTTCATTTCCCTGCTTAGTAGTGAAATTCCATATTGTTTCATGTTTGTTTGTTGACTATTTACATGACACCCTCTGCAAATTGCCTATTAGAATGGTCGTCTGTTGCTTACATGTTTGTAAAAGGCTTTATGCAGTGTGGATATTGGCACATTGATATTTTTCAAATATTTTTCTCAGTATGTCCCTTGCACTTTTGTC